CTTACTTCAATTTGTAAAATGACAAAAAAAAAAAAGAGTAAGAAAAGGAATCCTTATCTTAATTTCAATGTGGAAATTCTTTGGGTAATCCCAACTTATACTTAAATATAAAAGACTTCCTAAGTCGAAAAGAGTGATGAATACCCTAGACTTTTCCAAATACAGCAATTTAACCAGCATTTTTCTCTTGCTCTCCTGTTACTCCTTATTCCTCTTGGCCCGAGAGATGCAACTGGATAGACTTTAATATGGTCCCATTTATTCTTCATCACAGTTTAAAGGATTGACTCTTTTTTGGGTCTATACAGAACTCATTGGTCGATGCATTAAGGTCTATGATTTAGGTATAGAGTTAAGTAAACGACGACAGAAACTGGTCCTGAAAACCGTGATGCAAGGGAAACAACTGGGGACAATTTGCTTCGGCTTTCAAGCGCATGAGCGACCATGTTCTATTTGTCAAAAAGTCTACATGCTCTCAACTTTATACCAAACTAGAAAAACTATAACAGTAAAAATGGACCAAATTCTTCATCAAAATTGTTGATCAATATTTAGTTGTCCATCCTAATGTTTTTCACAAGATACCCAAAATACATGAATTCTCATATCATGATACCCAAAATACATGAATTCTCATATCAACTTCAGCCACATGCAATGAATAAATCTTGTACCTGGTTCATGCACTCGGTTTCAGGGCAATTTTATCATTTCCCTTCTTTTCATCCTGCTTACTTCAACATTAACTTATCAAAAGTTGGGTAAATTTCCACGTTTAAAAGAGACAAATGATTCCAACACAAATGAATCAAATTATTTAAAAAAAATTTTTAAAAAAGAAAAGCAGGTAGATTCAATCAGAGAAACGAGTGGCTGAAAATTGGCCAAGCATAGTTTTCAGTCTTTTCCATATATGACAATAGTGACCTACCATTGGAAAGAAAACACTTAATACGAAGTTTCCTTCAAGGAAAGTTCTGGTCCCCTACTTTGATCCTTAATTTGTCTCCGAAACTTAATACCATGAAACTGAACGAAAATTAAATTGTGTTTCCCGGTAGTCCCATCCAATTTTAGCGAGTATATCTGACATCAGGTGACTCCAGAATTTTCTCCTTTTCTTTTTTAAAAAAATTGACTGAAAAATAAACCTCAAATTGCATTAAGATTTCATTTTCTTAGCCAAGTTTGACCGTGACAGCTTTGGAACCTTGATATAGACTAGTAAAGCAACAATAAAATCAAGGCACATGGATGTATTAACAAG